TGGATCGGTGCCAACAAGCACACAATCTACAACTTCAGTCCGCATGCCCGTCCTGTGCCTCTAGAGCTTCACCTTCAATCATTCACCATCCCTCACTTCCCCTCTGCCATGCTCGCGATGGCTCGCCCGGCCTACCAGTCGATTTTGCAGCTTTCCCCCGATAAGCCTGCTCTCGTTTTCGTTCCTAGCCGCAAGCAAGTCCGTGCGACCGCTGCGGATCTCCTCTCCGCGTGTGCTATCGATAACGATGAAGATCGTTTCCTGAACGCCGATGTCAGTGAGCTCGCTCCTTTGCTTGAGCGTGTCCACGAGCAGACCCTTGCCACATCACTTTCTCACGGTGTTGGCTACTACCACGAAGCTCTCAATGCCACCGATAAGCGCATTGTGTTGCACCTGTTCAGCATTGGTGCGATTCAGGTGCTTTTGGCTTCAAGAGATGTTTGCTGGGAACTGGATATCACGGCTCACTTGGTCATCATTATGAACACTCAATTCTTCGATGGCCGTGAGCATCGCTACATCGACTACCCCATCAGCGATATCTTGCAGATGTTCGGCAAAGCCTCCCGTCCCGGTCAGGACAAGCTTGGCCGCGGTGTTCTTATGGTGCCAGCAGTGAAGCGCGAGTACTACAAGAAGTTCCTGAACGAGGCCTTGCCTGTTGAGAGTCACTTGCAGGTCTACCTCCACGATGCCTTTGTGACCGAAGCCAGCACAAGGACCATCTCTTCCACCCAGGATGCGGTTGATTGGATGACATACACCTATTTCTATCGCCGTCTTCTTGCAAACCCCAGTTTCTACGGTCTTAGCGACGTGAGCCACGAGGGGCTCAGCACATTCCTGTCAGAGCTGGTGGAGAACACACTGAAGGAGTTGTCAGAGGCAAAGATCATTGACGTGGATGAAGAAGATGACAGCGTTTCGCCTTTGAACGCCGCCATGATCGGTGCTTACTACAACATCTCGTTCATTACCATGCAAACCTTTTTGTTGTCTCTCTCATCCCGGACGAAGCTCAAGGGTATCCTGGAGATTGTCACCTCGGCGACTGAGTTCGAGTCTATCCAGATGCGTCGCCATGAGAATCACATTCTCCGCCGCGTGTATGATCGTGTACCGGTGAAGATGTCGGAGGTTTCCTTCGACTCACCTCACTTCAAGGCCTTTGTTCTCCTCCAGGCCCACTTCTCCCGCATGCAGCTTCCTCTTGATCTTGCCAAGGATCAGGAAGACATTGTTCGCAAGGTTCTTAACCTGCTCAGCGCTTGTGTGGATGTCCTCTCATCCGAGGGTCATCTCAACGCGATGAACGCGATGGAATTGTCCCAGATGGTGGTTCAGGCCATGTGGGATCGTGACAGTCCTCTGAAGCAGATTCCCCACTTCTCTCCTGATGTCATCAAGGTGGCCAACGAATACAAGTATGTATCATCAGAAGGGTCTCCAGAGACATTTGCTAATCTACCTTTGTACAGGATCAATGATATCTTCGAATTCATGGAGGCCATGGACCCATCGGAGAACAAGGACTACGCTACTTTGGTCAAGCGTCTCGGCCTCGACAACAAGCAATTGGCACAAGCTGCGGCTTTCACCAACGAGAAGTACCCCAACATCGAGCTTGACTTCGAAGTTGAGGATGCCGACGGTATCACTTCGGGCCAACCCGCATACCTCAAGGTCAAGATCGAGCGGGACATCGAAGAAGACGAAGAGCCCGATGCTACCGTCCACGCACCATTCTACCCCAGCCAGAAGATGGAGAACTGGTGGTTGGTTGTTGGTGACGAGAAGACCAAGAGCCTGTTGGCTATCAAGCGTGTCACCATCGGTCGCAAGCTCGAGCTGCGCTTGGAGTATGTGGTCCCTACTCCTGGAGATCATGAATTGACGCTCTACCTCATGGGCGACAGCTATGTTGGCGTTGATCAGGCTCCCACGTTCAGTGTCAATGCGGCAGAGGGAATGGATGAGGATGAAAGTGAGGAAGAGGAGGAAGAGTAAATGGGATTATCCTCACTGTTTGTAATAATAGTTATGTTTTTGAAGCTGTTGAATACAATATGTCTTGTATGGTTATTTACTTGCCTTTTCTCCGATGTGACTTTGTAGATGTAAATGCCTGCAAGGTACATGACGCTTAACCCAATCAGGACCATGACCCCCCCGCATGATCACGTTGCTCCCCAACCTCCTCTCCTCGTCTCCAACTCTTTCTCTCTCTCTAACCCTACCAAGGTATTTCTCTCTTTGATATCAATAGCATACGCTGTTGTGTTTTACGTATTTTTGGTTATCTGAAGAGCCTGATACCCTCATTTAAGCTCAATCCGTGGAAGCTCCCCCGAGCTTCCTATCTTATCTCCCATACGATCTGATATGGCCATTCGGAACATGAAGTTCACTCCCCAGTAAGTAGTGTCCATATAATTGACAACTTGACGTCAATCTCAATCGAGCACATTCGAGAGGATGGGACTGACACCGGCCCCTCTAGGGTTCTGCTTGGAGCACCCAGGCGGTCCTCAGCCGTTCCCAATGCGGCCGGCACCCTAGCAGTCTACACGCAGACATCCTACTCTTTCGAGTCTCATTCCAAGACCAATGAAATCCGCGTTATCGATATCAGCTCCGGCCGCTCTGCCCTTATTACCAACGACCCCGGCGCCAGTAACCCACAGTGGGTGGACGATAGCGACAAGCTTGTATGGCTAAAGAACAAAAACAATGGCAATACAAGCTTTGTCGTCGGCGATGCCCGCCAGGCCGATGAAACATACACCGCAGGCACTGTCCCAGGCCCCGTATCGGACCTGAAGGTTGTCCTTCTGGAGCCAGGGAAAGGTCGGCTTCGCCGTGACAGGCAAGGCCAATACAGACGGATCGCTATACAATCCCCATGATGCGAAGAAGCCCCATACAACCGGTAAACTGTACACATCTCTCTTTGTTAGACACTGGGACTCGTATGTTGAGCCCCAGAAGAACACGATCTTCTATGGATTGCTGGAACAGGCTCCTTTGTCGCCGGCCCGTCGGCGGGCTGGAAAGTACTCAGTCTCGGGCCTTACCAACTTGATCGCGGTCTCAGGACTGGCGGGCGTAGAGTCGCCGGTCCCGCCTTTTGGTGGTACTGGGGACTTTGATATTAGTCCGTCGGCTATTGTCTTTATTGCGAAAGATCCCAACCTCAACCCCGCAACTCACACCTCTTGCTCGTGTTATTATTCTCCCATGTTCTCGTGGACGAGCATGAGCATAACTGAGTCTGAACCGAAAATCTGCAAGGTTGCTGGCCTTCAGGGAGCGATGTCGTCTCCTGTCCTTAGCTCAGACGGTAGCTCGATTGCTGTTCTAGCGATGCGCAGGGATGGCTATGAGTCTGATAAGAACCGTATCTTGTATGTTCCCAACCCATGGAATGGAGAGATGATCGAGATTTTCCAGTCGGACGATGGGAAAGGACACTGGGATCTCAGTCCCTCGGCCGTGTCGTTTTCCCATGATGACAAGTCGCTGTTCATTCATGTCGAGGAGACTGGCCGCGGAGTTCTGTACCAACTGGCTCTGGAGAATGTGCATACGATCAAGCCCGAGTCTCTAAAGAGACTGACCAGATCGGGATACGTGAATGATGCCGTTCCAGCAGCTGCCAACTCCTCCAAGCTGTTCGTGTCTAGCAGCAGCCTGGTTGATAACAGCCTGTGGACTATCATCGATCCAGCACACCCAGATAATGTCCAAATGGTATCCTCAAACGGGCGGGGCGGCAGTGCATTCGGCTTGTCCTCGTCCCAGGTCGATGAGATCTGGTTCAAGGGAGCCGAAGACCACCCTGTCCACGCGTGGGTGGTGAAGCCGTCGGACTTCAAGCCCGGGGGCAAATACCCGCTTGCATATTTGATCCACGGTGGACCGCAGGGCGCGTGGAACGATCAGTGGAGCACACGTTGGAACCCAGCTGTTTTTGCCGAACAGGGTTACGTCGTGATCACCCCCAACCCAACAGGCAGTACTGGCTACGGACAGCCCTTCACCGATGGAATCCAGGGACAATGGGGCGGTCGGCCCTACGAGGACCTGGTCAAGGGATTCGAATTTATCGAGCAGCACCTGGATTACGTCGACACCACGCGTGCGGTTGCACTGGGCGCCTCGTACGGCGGTTACATGATGAACTGGATGCAGGGTCATCCGCTCGGGCGCAAGTTCAAGGCACTAGTCACCCACGACGGAGTATTCAGCATGACCTCCCAGTTGGCTAGTGAAGAGCAATACTTCCCTCTCCACGACCTGAAAGGGCCGATCTGGAAGGTGCCGGAGAACTGGGCGAAGTGGGATCCGTCGCGGTTCACGGAACACTGGGACACGCCTCATCTGATCATTCACAACGAGTTGGATTACCGTCTGACCATCGCGGAGGGTCTAGCTGCGTTTAATGTACTCCAGATGCGCGGCGTCGATAGTGCGTTCCTAACGTTCCCTGATGAGAACCATTGGGTTCTGAACCCTGAAAACTCGCTCATGTGGCACCAGACTGTTCTGAACTGGATTAACAAGTACGCGGGCATCCCGGAGGAACCTGATCTGTCACGGGGAGTGGGCAGTCTGTCGCTGTGATAATAACAATAGTCTCTTTGATTTAGCTATTTGGGCCAATGAGGGAAGACTGAACTTGAATATGAAGATATTTATGAACATGGCTATTGTGCTTTTCTTAGAAACAAAGGGATAAGAAGGGGGTGTCGTTTGAAAGTCGCCTTGATTGGAGAGTTTAGAACGATGTCTTTGTGTTATAAAGAAGAGGATGTTTTGGGAGGTTTCATCTCATTGTCGAGATGATTCTTTGAGGGTTTAGACAATCACATACATTTCGTATATATAAGTGTCCTTGGTTTCCTTGATATCCTCCATTTTGTATTCTTCATACAACACAGCAACACAGCAACACAGCATAGACTCTATATCAACCCCAACCCAACCCCAACTATACAATGGACAACGATCCTCAAACCCCCAAGTCCCCTCACAGCATCAGCTGGCTCTCCGAACGAACTCTCTCCATTTCCACCGCCTCAACCACCACAACCCTAGGAGACACTCCTAGTCCAATGAGCATGTCTTCCCCAACCCCTATAGAGTTCACCGATTCCCCCATCCCAATCGAATACCGTCAAGTCTCCTTCCACGAGAATCCCAACTTCCATCCCAATTTCCCGTCCCTCCTTCGCCATCTCTCCTCCCGCCTCTGGCCCCTCGTTAACTGCGAAACAGGCCTCCAACATCCAGACTTCCCACCAAATATGTTGGCCTACAACCTTCTGACCTCGGAGCAGGTCGATAATCTCGCCCGGCATTTCCATCAGGTTTACCCGCCTGTTCCCGCTACCTTTAATTATCCTGTTTATATTACCCCATGGATTGGGACGGCGGAAGAGAAGACTATTGATCTCCCTACGAGAGTGAAGAGGTTGGGGAGGTTTTTTGGGTTGAGGGGATGTGAGGAGCCGCAGCCGGAGCCGGAGCAGGAGGATGTGGATATGGATATGGATGTCGATGAGGGTGATGGGAGTAAGAAGGATGAGAAGATGAGTGAGAGTGAAGCTGAAGTACTACGACAGATGGAGTTCGAGTGGCAGCAGGCATTACAGAGGGCGTATGCTGAGGAATCGCATCGGTGGAATTTGAAGTGAGTTGGATTTTATTTCAATTAGATATAGAAAGAATATAGAATATAGAATATACAACAGAATATACAGGCTATAATATGATCATCTCCCCCGGAATGTTGATTTAGCCGTCGGCTAAAGGAGTTGTAGAGACAAGACATAGGCTAATAGGAGGATTAATAGGAGGTTAATAGGAGGTTAATAGGAGGTTAATAGGAGGTTAATAGGAGGTTAATAGGTGGGATAATAGAGGGATAATAGAGGGATAATGAGGAGAATAACGGGGTAATCGAGTAATAGTAAGATGATAGAATAGTAGAATAGCAGAGAATAGAATATTAATATCCTCCTGTTCCCCTAAAATAACCAAATATAACTCCAGTTCTTCCTTCCATCTCCCATCTACACACTCAGCCCTATCTATATATAACCTCACCACCACCATCACCACCACCACCACCAAACAAAATGTCCAACCCACTAGTCTCCCACATCTACACAGCCGACCCCTCCGCCCACGTCTTCAACAACAAACTCTACATCTACCCCAGCCACGACCGCGAAACAACAATCCCCTTCAACGACAATGGCGACCAATACGACATGGCCGACTACCACGTCCTCTCCATGGCCACAATCACCAGCCCCGTAACCGACCACGGCGTCGTCCTCCGCGACAAAGATATCCCCTGGGTCTCAAAGCAACTCTGGGCACCCGATGCCGCAACAAAAAATAATAAATTCTACCTCTTCTTCCCGGCCCGTGATCAAAAGGGTATCTTCCGGATCGGTGTTGCTGTCGCTGATGCACCTGAAGGTCCGTTTGTCCCGCAGCAGGATTATATCCAGGGGACGTATAGTATCGATCCCGCTGTTTTTGTTGATGTGAATGCTGGTGGGGAGGCGTATTTATATGTTGGTGGGATTTGGGGTGGACAGTTGCAGTGTTGGGTTGAAGGAAAGGAGGAAGATGGAGACGGGGAATGGGTCGATGGCGATGAAGGTGGTGTTGACGGACGGAAGAAGAGACTTGTCTTCGATGAGAGCTTGTCTGGACCACATGAGCCTGCTGGAGAGGGTGTTCGTGCGCTTTGTCCGCGTGTTGCGATGTTGACGGATGATATGCTTTCGTTGGCGTCGGGGGTTAAGGAGGTTGTGATTCTTGCGCCGGAGACCGGGGAGCCTTTGTTGGCGGATGATCATGAGAGGAGGTTCTTTGAGGCTGCTTGGGTGCATCGGTATCAAGGGACTTATTATTTCTCTTACTCGACTGGTGATACGCATTTCTTGGCTTATGCTACGGGGTCTTCACCTTGGGGTCCGTTTACCTATCGGGGACGGATTTTGGATCCGGTGCTTGGGTGGACGACGCATCATTCCATTGTCGAGTTCCAGGGGAAGTGGTACTTGTTTTATCATGACTGTGAGCTTTCGGAGGGCGTTGATCATTTGAGATCGGTGAAAGTGAGGGAGATTGTTTATGATGATGAAGGGGCTATTCATTTGGCGGAGGAACAGACTCCTGTCAAATAGATATTGATATTGATATTGAAATTGCTCGAGCAGAAAGTAACGGTAGATCATCCTAATTGCACATGCCCTTCTCCCAGTTCTCCTGAACAAGCTTCCAGTACTGCTCGCGAGAACGTTCGCGGAATGTCTTTCCAAACAGAATCATAACGAAGAAGACTGAAGCGCATGCCATGCCAATAAAGGCAGCAGAGATGAAACAGTTCTGGTACCCCATGTTATTGATCCAAGGCGTAATACTAAAATGAAGTTAGTGTTTTTGTCTTCTGCTAAGAACTCGAGAAAAACCTACCCATATCCAATTGCAAAAGACATGGTATTCCGAACCATAATCACACTGGCCATCGCAATACCACTCAGCTCTCGGTAGCTGTCGATAAAGTAATTGACACTAAGCGTGACGCCACAGGCGCTTGTAAAGGCCAGAATGCTCATCCCAACAATGAGTCCAAACCAGTGGATCCCATGAGCAGCACCTACCCCCAAAGAATAAGGGAACCAGGCACAAGCAACACACAAGCGAGGAAGGGCCAGAGACGGTGCTCTGCCTCCATAACGCCATGGTTTCGGCGGGCGAGTTTGATAGTGAGCCAGTCGCTGAATCGGCCAGTGAAGAAGGATCTATTTCTGTCAGCAGTGGTTGAAGTATCGGGCCAAGCTAGAGATCTTACGCCAGTATCACACCGATGATGGGCCCTAGGTAACTCAGACCGACCATGGAAGATCTGGGACGGGTTAGCTTCGTATATTGGATAATAGAAATAATAGAAACTGACCCAAAGTGGTAGGGCTCGCCGCTAAGAATAATAGAGGCAGTTCCATTCAGGATGTTGAAGTACACCAGGTAGGATCCGTAAGAGAAGCTGTGTGCATGTTAGTCAACATGTATATCGAATCCGGAAATATTGCACCCATACCCAGCATAGAAGACAACGGGCCACGAGAGGAAGTAAATACAGTGCCAGAGTCGCCGGAGCAAGGTGTTCTGCTCCTGGCTCGGTCCCCAGAGCGCCAGTTTCGTCACATACGACTTCTTGGTGTGGCCCGACCTGATGCTAACCCCAGTAGCAGCTTCCATGTCAACAGCGGTGGGTTTCTCTGTTTCGCCGTCCGAGCTGAGTCTTGGGAATTCTGTGGTTAAGATAACGCTAGGCTCGTCGGGCTGCGCTCGAATGTAGTTTGTTTCCTCGCAGAAAAAGAAGAGGAAGATAATTGCACAGCCGAGGAAGATGCTCGGCCAGTAGAATACCCACCGCCAACCCTGGTACTGGGCGATGAAGCCACAGATGACGGGTGCAAAGTAGTTACTTCCTGCCAAGAAGAATGCATAAAGTCCCATGTAGGTACCTCGCTCGTGGGTGAAGTACTGCTGCTGTGTGAGCGGTGGGTTCTTTCCTAAAGGTGGATTTCACTTACCACGTCCGTGACGGAGATCTGAGGAAGCGCTTCCACGGGTGCTGTGAAGAAACCTAAGACGATGTTTCGGGCAAGCCATTGACCTTTACTGCTTGTGTATGGTCTGGGCGGTGTTAGTCTTGTCTCATTGCAGACATGATACTTCACTTACCCCCACATCGTCATACCCTGGATTCGTTAGCTATAAATCTCAAATATCCGACAGATTCAGGATGAGGTACCAAAATTCCTATCAAGGACAGCATGTACGTCGGCCGCTTGCCATACTGCATAGCGAAAGGCTGCCAAAACAGTAAGCCCCAACCTGCTAACAAGAACATGTAGCCGCTTCCTTCGTTCAAGGTACTGATGGGCAATCCCGTCTGTTCGTGAAGCGGTTTGATCACTGAGTAAACGATGGAGCAGGCAATGCCTGAGAACATCGTATAGCTACAAAGATGAAATGTCAACACTGATCTCTAGGTGAGGTTGTTGTAACCTGTACTCACACGCTCACACAAGCAGTTGACAGAAGTTTCCGTCTTCGAGACCAGTTGAGGGGGTCATCTGGGTCATTTGATGGGGTAGGGATCAATACGATGTCACGGTCTCCGTGGTCCAAGTGCCGAGTATGCAGGACATGATCCACGTCCACTAGAGTCACGGTGCCAGGAACGACTGAGGTGTCGATGACTGGCGCCATGGTGGAGTAATGTTCCGATGGTGTGTATGTGATTAATTCAGAAAGAAACCAAGACCAAGCAAGTATGAGAGAGGGTTCTCATAGGAAGAAAGAGTTTAAAAAGGAAATGTGCGAGGAAAGGAAAGGGATAAAGAAAGATAAGATGGGATGTGTCTTAAATGGGAAGATCAAGATCTCAATTGCAGGATAGAAAGACAGAAAGACAAAAGACCGAAATACAAAAAGACAAACAAAAAGACAGAAAGACATAACAAGTTGGAGTGGTCTTGGCGAGTCCTTTTGATATATCCCTTGATATAAAAGGCTTATAAGGCTTATATGGTCTTGGAGTTATCTTGGAGTATCACTTTCAAAGTACTGATATCTTCCAATTAAACAAGAATAGATTACTATCTAAGAAAGAAACAACTCAACTAAATCATAGCTTCGTTTCCATAACACCTCTGCACTTTCTTCACCTGCTGGGAAGTCAAGATGCGGTAACTTGGGTACCTGACAATGATCTAGAAAGGCTCCAGATTGGACTGATATACCCTCATAGCCACCAATCAGTAACATGTACAACATATATACACCCCTGTTGATCTGGTTATCTCACCTTCGAGTTCCGGATCGAGCAATCCGCGCAACACCGTGGCGCTACCCTGTCCAAGTGATTTCGGGGCTTGTTGTAAAAGGACTGGTATGTCCTCACCAGCTGGATATGTCAAATCAAAGTAGTTCTCGTCGTGATCTATGATCGGGGACATAGTTACCTTCTTTCTTCCGCTGCAGCCAGGATTTGATCTCATCCCATGCAACGTATGTCTGAACGTTGGTTTTGGTATCTGAATCCAATAAGAATGGTTACCGAAAACACATTCATCAATTCATCAATTTCGACTCACTTCCAGGATTCGCAGAAAACGCAGTAATCGATCCGCGATACTTCTTCGCCATAGACTTGATAAACAAGACGATCGCAAGCATCGACTGCGAATAACCATCGAGACTGTGGTAATTTTCTCCATTCTATCCAAATCAGCATATACCATCCCAAACCAACAAAAAAGAAGTCAAACTCACCTCAAACTCCAAATCATCCCATGAAGGCGCAGGCGCCTCATTCCGCAAACTAGCCGTAACCAGAACAACCCTCGACCGATGCCCCATAACATCACACAGCAGATTCACCAGCAGGAAATAACATAGGTAATTCTTCTGGAAATGAGACTCGACTCCGTCCGCAGTGAGCTCCCACGGGACTGCCATGACATCGGGAAACCCAATGAAGCCGTCAATCGACACGCCCAGGGTCTTGATAGTATGGGCGGCCTCGCGGAATGAACTCAGGCTGCCCGGGTCGGCCGCCACAAAGATCATTTCGACCGTTTTGTACTTCCGGTTGATGTGGTCGACCACAGGTTGCAGTTCGGACTTGGAGCGGCCCGTGTATATTATGGTCTTTGCGCCGCCGTGGGCCAGAGCATCTGCCGTTGTGGCCGCGAGATCGCCTCGCTTGAGACCGGATATTAGGACTATCGCGCGAGACTGGTTAGTTCAGCACTATACTGGGTCTGTTGGGGTGGTGGCGGTACATGTTTTTTGCTTCACCTGGTCCGGGAACATTCTCGCCACGTCCGCCCCCTGTGTGTGGTCATCGAAGGTGTTACTCATTGTGCTGGATTCCGTTTGGTTTGGGTTGATGGGTTGATTTCTAGATGTCTTTCTATGTCTGCTCTTGTTTTGGATCGTGGACATGTCCGGCATTTCGTCATCGTGAAGCCATCTCGGAGTGTATATTCGACCTCATTCATGATAGAGCAACGACGGGGGCAACGACGGGAACAAGCAACAAGGTGAGAAATATCAAAATGGAATTATAGGTTGCAACTCATAGACACCCTCGCATTCATAATGTACAGCTAAAGAAATCGCACGCATACGGAGCCTGCCGGTCAAAGGAAAAAGAACGCGGACATAATAGGAAAAACGTAAGATCCAGTAGATCTCAGTGCGATGGGCCGGCCGCATCATCTTCGGGCATCTGATCAATAACACCCTTCATGAGCTCAATAAGCTCATCAATGTCGGGTCGTTCCGAGGGTTCAACAGTGAGACACTTCCGAACAATATCCTTGACGGGTGCACTGATCGCAGGCTCATCACTTTTGGATGAATCCTCGGTTTCGCCCGACTTGGCTTTACCCTTAGAAGCACCTGACTTCTCATCAGGGAATCGCCAGTCACCACCAAGAACACACATGCTCAGGCTTCCGCCGGTCTCCTCACTGCGCGCCTCGAAGGGACTCTTGCCCACGAGACAGGCGTAGAGTGTGCAGCCTAGCGACCAGATATCAACCTTGGTATCAATGATTGACCCTGTCTTGACATCGAAGAGCTCCGGTGCACGGTATGGCATCGTGCTGTGTTCTGCTGCGGTATCCTGCACCGCCAAGGCGAGGGAGCGCGACGTAATGGCGATGGGGCTAGGCGCCAAAGAGCCCAGATCCATCAGGATGGGTGATTGCCCGTTGTCATCGATCATGATGTTTCCTATAACGACAGTTAGCTCGTCGAGTCCATTCATAATTTCCGCACCAGCCAAAATGTAAAACTCACCAGGCTTGACATCTCGGTGCGCATAGGGACGCAGGTCCCCATCCTCGATACCTTCCTGACTCCGGGTGACCTCGTCATCCATCAGGGGCGCATTCTCCTCATCCTCCTCATCCTCTGCTACGCGATGGCTAGGCCTCCGTTTCGGTTTCATTTGCATGTTCCGTTCTTCGTCTGCCTCCTCGCCTTCTCTCCGAACACCCTTCGCCTTTCGCGTAGCTGCCGACCCGCTCTTCACCCGATACTGATGCATCGAACGAAGCGCATCGGCAACACCGAGTATCAGGACCATCAACCGCTTCTCTGGGAAATTGGTATGGTTGACCAGATTGGCATTGATAGCATCCTGGAGATTACCGCGCTGGTAGTATGGGAGTAGAATATAGACCGTCTTCGAGCCTGGATCTCCGCCATCTGATCTAAATTTCGAACCGGATTCTGTGGATACGCAGTGGTCGATCGAGTGGATGATGTTGGATTGGGAGTTGAAGATGTTGTAGGCTTCGACTTCTTTCAGGGCTTGTGATACGGATTCTTGGCCGAATGGACAGCGGATCTTCTTCAGCGCAAATAATTCGGAACTCGCTTTATCTTGGACTAGGTAAACATAGGAAAATCCACCCTGTTGTCGTTGGTCAGTTCAGACCAGCTTGCAGCTATCGTTATCGGGTATCCATACCTCGCCCAACAAACGTAGGAGTTTAAAACTCCGGTTGTTGATCTTTAGCTGTGGAGAGCTGGGAAAGCAACACATGCAATCCGTGAAATTGTATAAGAGATCAAAAAAGTATTGCGCCATGATGTATAATGCGATGGTAGGAGGTGGAGGTGTCGGGGGCCCGGGTACGTCCGGTAGGGTAGATGCGCAAGATTTAGTATAAAATGGACAAGATCGTCGATAGATGTCTTGGGAGAGATACACAGAGAGAGAGAGAGAGATACAGAGAAGTAAGGATTGAATATGCAGAGGAGATGGAAGAGTTGAAGATGTTTGGCATATTACGTGGAGTGAAGGGAGTGGAGTTCTCTTTTTATTTGTTGTCTCTTGTCTCTCCTCCTCCCTCCACCCCCCCCTTTCTCTTATATTGAGATTGGATACACTCACACACTCTCTCTCTCTCTTTTCTCATATTCTAACTGGTTCAATTAAGAACTAGTTAGGTCTGTCTTTTTCATTTGTTTCTCTCTTTTTTTCCCTTTTTTTCCTCTCTCTCTTTTCCTAATCATGGAAGTTGGGCCGTCAACTTAATATCCTTGCATTCTCCTAACGCTCCCTCTACACCCTTGACTTCTGTACCCTTCCAGGGGCTATTAATATTCGCCCGGACCTCTTATTTAAAAGTTGCATCCCACTTTTTCTTTTTTTTTCCTATTCATATCGTCCATATCCCCCCACAATGGCGCACCCCGATGATATACAGGTCGGTGACGTGGTGAATGTCCCCGGTGGCATGCATGGGACAGTCAAATATTTGGGATCGGTAGCGGGGAAGGCTGGACGATTCGCAGGTGTTGAATTAAGCTCCGAACACGCGCAAAGAGGCAAAAACAGCGGCGATGTCGATGGCCGGAAGTACTTTGCAACCTCGATCCCGGGTTCTGGTATATTCGTTCCCATGAACAACAGCAAGTATGTTACAAGGCGATCCTCGAATATCTCTACTCCGACCACTCCTGCACGTGGGGCCCCCGTCAACTTCAGCAAATCGGTCGGTGCAGCTCTGACTACCCCCCGCCCTCGAGTCCGAAGACCCTCGCTCCCTCGACCCGAATCTCCGCGCGTGCCCCCTCCTCCGAAACTAAGTTTGGCCGGTCTGCGTACACCGTCGGCAGCACCCAGGACCAGTGGGATGAACAGCGCCATGCGTAGCCCTGTCAAGGCACCGTCTCGGCTGTCTGATAGACCCTCGTCACGACTGAGTGTGGATGATGACTCCTCGTCGTATGGACGGCCATCGGACTTCCGCCGGCCGCTCTCATCGGAGACTCAAGACTTGAAGGATCAGATCAAAAGTCTAGAGAAGCAGCTTCTAGACCGAGATAAGCAGCTCGAAGAGCAGTCTGGAACTTTGAGCGAGTTCCAAAAGACATTGGAGGAGATGGAGGGGTCGGAGGGTCAGTCGCTCCGTACACAGCTACGCGAACGTAACGAGCGGATTACCCAATTAACGGCGGAATTCGACGTCCACCGCGCAGACTTCCGAAGCACCCTTGACACATTGGAGATCGCAGCCTCCGAAACAGAACGTGTATACGAACAGCGTATCGACGAGATTATGCAGCAGAATAAAGAACTGCAGGACCGCGGCGAGGATGTCGAGGTTGTTGCGCAGCAGCTCAAGCAGTTGGAAGAGCTGGTTTCGGAGTTAGAGGAAGGCCTCGAGGACGCCCGGCGTGGAGAAGCCGAGGCTCGGGCCGAAGTCGAGTTCCTCCGCGGTGAAGTTGAGCGCACCAAGTTGGAGCTCAAGAAGGAGCGTGATCACTCTGTCGCTGCGCTGAAAGATGCACACGCTGCCGCAGACGGACCCCGAAGCAGTAGTGAATTGGACCAGAAGGATGATGAGATTCGAGGACTGAAGGCCATTATTCATTCATTGAGCCGCGGAAACCCCACCGCGGCAAGTTTGGGACAGAACGGCTCGGCGGATCATGATCATAATCCAGAGCACGTGAATCAGCTCGAGATTCGACTGCAAGAGGTGGAAGAAACCACAAACCGCAAAGACAATCGGATCGAAGAGCTCGAGCGTCAACTTCAAGAAATGCACCTGCAGTCTGGTGGTCGTCGCCGCAGCTCTACCATCACTCTTTCACCGAAGCAACACAGGACCTCGCACTCTGCGGGTAATATCTCCAATCACTCAAACAACCCCAACCCCAACCCCAACCGTCTTTCTGACCGTACAGTGGTCCCGACCGATTGGCACGATGCTCCTTCGGAGCCCCGGCATCACCGCGGTATCTCCAACTCTTCTCAATCGCGACTGGAGACCATGCATGAGTCTGAACGCTCTTCCGACGAGGACACCATGTGGTGCGAGATCTGTGAAACAGGCGGCCACGACATCCTAAACTGCACCAGCATGTTCGGCTCTGGCCAGAACGCCACTGAACAGAAGAATCTTAAACATGACACTGCCGATGAACTTTCCGATGACCACCCGGTTGAGAAGACCGAACCCCTTCAAACCAAAGCCTCATCCATTCATTCCGACACACCCCCTGCACTCAAGACAGGACGGGATGTGGTGATGGAAGGACTGAAGGGTATTAGCGGGCTGAGCTCATCCATGAGCTCATCCATGGCTCCCATTGCCGGTAAATCATCGGGAGTCATCGATGAATCTAAGTGGTGTGCTCTCTGCGAGCGAGATGGCCATGAAAGCATCGACTGCCCGCTTGATGAATAATGTTCTGGATATATTGGGGCATGAGTTCGGTGCATCACATAAGACCGGCAGCTCTCTGCTGCATGCATGGGGTGTTTTTTTCTAGTACATGATTGTTGGGTCGGTTACCCCGGTTAATAAATGGTGTTCTTTCGGGGGGGACGAAGAGGATTTGCAACACGGTGGGGGCTGTGTGCTTGTAATAAATACCATAACCTTGGTCATAATAAGATGTCGTTGTATAAAACAGCTTTCCATGTCCGTTGTGTACCTTGGCCTAGGCTTGGAGACCACTTTGATATGTCGAGGTATCCATCTCATTCTATTCTTTTTCTTCTTTTTTTTCTCTCTCAAAGTATGTAGGATTCGTCACTCATAACCATTCATGACCGAAATATATTACAATTATGGCCTCACCAACCTCACCCTCCAACGGATCAGATCAGTATACACTATTCAGGATAAGTTGGCGGCTGTACAATTTCCCCATCCTGGTACTTCGACGTCGCAATCTCTCCACAAGCCTTACATTTGCGCTTTTCCTCGTCGGCCGCAAACTCCTCAACCACAGCCTTAACCTGCGTCCCCAGGTCAACACACACGAACTTCTTCTCCCAAATGATCTCCTTGCAGCTCTTGCAATACCATCTCATAGCATCGACCGCATCCTTAGCCCGCGGCTGCTCCATCACGACACCAATAGTATCCTTGAAGCGCACGGGGCAGTGTGGGGTATTCGCGGGCAGCAGGAAGATCGAGCCTTCGTGGATGGGGATATCTTGGAAACTGGGAGGTGTGGTTGAGTTGTCGACCGTCTTGAGGAGCATTGATCCACGGTATTGGTAGAAGAACTCTGGGGTTGTGTTGATGTGGAAGTCAGTTCGGGCATTGGGCCCGCCCACTATCATCACCGTGTAGCCGGCTGTGGCTGGTGTTGAGGGGTGGTAGACACAGTAGTTGTTGACTGGTGGTTGGAGGAGATGGGAGTTTTCTCTGAGCCTGAATATATATTGTTAGCTGTTGGGTTTGGGGGTAGCCTGCTATCGTGTGATGAATCATATAGTGGGGGGGAAGGCATTGTAAGAAAGATGGCTGTGAAGCTTTGAGCTTACCATTTGGGGATGTTCAGGGCTGGAAGAAGCATTGTCAATATATCAAGATCTGAACTTGTCAGAGTCTACTTTGTCAGTTTTTGCAAATGTCGTATGAGGTCGGAAACCCTTCAGAAAATCAAAAACGTCGATCTGATCCCCCGGAGATATCAGCTCCACCCCGGACTTAAAACATCGGCCCGGATCAACTTCTTCCCGTCAATTTTTCTTTTTCATATCTCGAATCCAACAGCCAGAACTACAGTGTTTTAACGAGAGTCTTGACCAACCACACAAAATGGCCACCTCTCAACCCCCCTTCGGTTTACATCCCATCACAATCTGGTATATCGCTTGGTCTTGTCCACCCTCACCGGCCGCACAGTCCATATTTCGCAAATTCGTTCCTCGTCGCCCACGAATCCGGGTCTTGCGCCTCATGAAATTTCTTTCCTCCGCCTCCTAGATGCAATCACCAATGGCTCTCAAATGGAGATCTCATACACGGGTACCGTGCTTGTCTACAAGCCGGGTTTGGTCACCGGCAGCACGGCCGGTACTGGAGCCAGCAGCGGCATGATCACCTACGAGATTCCGTCAAACTGTAACCGCGGCCTCAGTTACTTCCTGATCCCGCTCTGTCTACTGGCCCCCTTCGCCAAAGCACCCATGAAGGTGCTCTTCACAGGACCCGGTGTCATCACCTCGTCGACTCAGACTGGAGATATGTCCGTCGACAGCGTTCGTACTGCGATCCTCCCTCTGTATAAACAATTCGGCATCTTCAACAACATCGAGCTCCGTATCCTGAGACGCTCGAACACCGGTCCCACCGGCAGGGGTGGTGGTGGTGAAGTGCAGCTCGTGTTTGGCCACCAGGTCCGTCTGCCGAAGACTCTGCACTTGATGAACGCGGGCCGCATCAAGCGCATCCGTGGTGTTGTATACTCCGTTGGTGTGTCTGGCTCGAACAACGCTCGCATGATTGAGACCGCCCGTGGTATCCTCAACCCACTTAGCCCAGATACTTATATCTTCTCCGACGTTGCGTCTGCGCCTTTGGTACCAGCTCCGGATAAGACCAACCCCCAGGCAAAGAAGAAGATCGGCCTTGGATTTGGGTTGTCCTTGGTGGCAGAGTCTTCCACAGGTTGCCTCTTCTCAGCTGATGTGGCCTCTCCGCCACAGGGTGGTCAAGCCCCCCGAGGAAGTTGGAAAGCAGTGTGCATTCCAGCTTCTGGAGACAGTTGCCAAGGGAGGCTGTGTGGCTCCTGCAGCTGCCACGACCATGTTTACTCTCATGACCATGGGTTCGGAGGATGTTGGACGGCTGCAGGTTGGCCGAGATGTTATTGCTGACCCCAACGTTGTCCAGCTCGCTCGTGATCTGTCCAAGTTCGGTGCCCCCGGCTGGGGTATCCGTGACGCACCTGACAATGGAGATGGAGATGTGATTGTCAGCGTTGTCGGCCGTGGAATCGGTAACGTCGGCAGAAAGGTTGCTTAAGCTGCTGTGGACGGCTTTCGCACTTCATCCCAAGTCTACCACCACTCTGAGGGCCGTCTTCGCCAAAAGAACTTCCGGAAGTCTCGCCTCAGCAGTTCACTCCTTCCCAGCAGACGGGGCCACGTGGTAGTCCATCAGATACCGTCGGCGTCGCGGGCTTCTGGCCGTCTGTCCAGTGCGCGTCAGCTCCAAGAAGCTCAAGACGTTTCAAGGCCTGAATGTCGAGCATGAACTCGACCTATCGTTCCACCGCGACGAAGCCATGTGCGGCAAAAGACTGCTTTTTCCTGTCATCATGATACCCAAACCGAACTTGCTAGAGCAAGGTGACAATCTCTTACATAGGATTCAATATCATTGTCTTCTCTTCTACTTCTACTTCTACTTCTTCTACTTCTGTGTACACATTGACATAATGGTGACATACATGTACACATTGCCCGGGTGATCAGGTAAAACTTTGTTTCTGCTTTCATAAATACCCCCCTCCCCCCTGTTTTCCTCTTCTCTTCTTCATCTCCCCAACTCTTCTTCTTTTTCCCCTGTCCTTCATCCTTCAATCCTTATGCACCCCCTCCCTCCCCTATCCCACTTTCGATCTTACATTTCATCTTACGGTTCTCTTGTTCACCATTTATCCCCCGCCTTCTGCTCACCGGTCCCGGGGCAACCTGGTGCCGACTGGGAAGTGAAGAGAGGGACGTCGTCGCCATGTTGGAATGCAACGTCTTCTACCATTTATTCATCTTCATCTTCCATCTTACACCTTCCATCTTACGGTTTGCTTGTTTACCATTTATCCCCCGCCTTCTGCTCACCGGTCCCGGGGCAACCTGGTGCCGTCTGGGAAGTGAAGAGAGGGACTTCGTCACCATGCTGGAATGCAACGTCTTCTAACATTTATCTCGCCATCTATATGCCATTTCCCCAGCGACGGCTCGCACCTCATCGTGGTGCTGGGGTCCAGTAACCCTTCGGGGTGAAGCCAAGACGAGCCTGCCATCTATGACATCTTTCTGACATTTGTTTATGTCTGACGTCTGTTTACATCTTGCCTTCCCATCCCATCGTCATGACTTCTCACTCATCCATCTTCCACATTTATTCCCCGCCTTCTGCCCACCAGTCCCGGGGCAACCTGGTGCCGACTGGGAAGTGAAGAGAGGGACTTCGTCGTCATGTCGGAATGCAACGTCTTTTAACATTTATTCATCCTTCATCTTCCATCTTCCATCTTACACTTTCCGCCGTACACTTTCCATCTTACGGTTCTCTTGTTCACCATTTATCCCCCGCCTTCTGCCCACCGGTCCTGGGGCAACCTGGTGCCGACTGGGAAGTGAAGAGAGGGACGTCGTCACCATGTTGGAATGCAACTTCTAACATTTATTCATCTTCATTCGTTCATCATCTTCACTTCATCTTCCATCTTACACTTTCCATCTTACGGTTCTCTTGTTTACCATTTATCCCCCGCCTTCTGCTCACCGGTCCTGGGGCAACCTGGTGCCGGCTGGGAAGTGAAGAGAGGGACTTCGTCGTCATGTTTGTTCTGCAACGTCTTCTACCATTTATCCTGCCATTTCCCCAGCGTTGGCTCGCACCTCATCGTGGTGCTGGGGTCCAGTAATCCTTCGGGATGAAGCCAAGACGAGCCTTTTCAATATATCTTGTTTCTGGTTTGATTCGTTTCCTCTGTAGTGCAGTGTAATGTTCTCCGTATGACTTCCAGGTAACTAGGGCTTTCATGGTCGCATGACTTGTCTTTTTGTTTTGGTTCTTGAACTCTGTCCTTGTCCACAAAGGGTTGGTCTTTTGTTTTTGTTTTGTTCTTTTATTATTACTAGGTAGTTATGGAATGATTGCAATGAAATGATTTGTTCACGTTCTAATTCTATTGACATGTAGACGCTAAGGAATTTAAAGGAAATGTAAGATCAGACAAGATATGAGACGCCAGAGATGCAGAAGATTTCTGACAGGACCAGAATGAAAGACAGAGTGCTTGAACGCTTTTGAAATGAAACAGCAGGTATCAACATGAAGATCAAAATCAGAATGAAAAAAAAGACAACAATGAGAGATGACAGAAGTGTTGCAATGGAAGATGAAGGCTAAAAAAGGCTGTGCAAGAAGCTGAGAAAATGCCAAAAGTAACAAGAAAGAAGAAAGAAAAGAAAAGAAAAGAAAAGAAAAAGAGTACGAGAGACAAGAATCACTCAGTGGGAAGAGGAAGAGCATCTCAATCCGAGGAATCCTCATCCCTACCAGGATACATAATATCCTGACGATAGACAGCAAGACAGTGATTGACAAAGACATAGATGAACATGCAAACAATGCAGATAGTCATCGCAGAGCCAACACCCTTGATGGCGGCACTGTCAAACGCATTCCCAAGCGTAATGGTAGCAATAGTGAATCCCGTATTAGGGAAAACCATGGCCCACCAGCTAAGATGGAAGTTCGTCGGCGGCGACCGAATAACCGCAATAGCAGCAACACAAAAGAACCAAAAGCTCAGCGCCCACAGGAACGCGCCCGCTGCCAACGCCAGTATCTCCACCATCCGTCCATCAGCCGCCGTATCCTCACTCCCCATCACACTGAATGTCTCGGGAAGTCCCTGCGCCATACCCACCAGAGCAAGTGCCGTGAAGGCGGGAGGTCCGACGCAGATGAACATCGCGGGTCGGTGTTCCCGACACGGAAGTCCGCTCTCCATCAACCGGCCGATGTAGTGTGAGTACATCATGAACGAGATGCAGAAGCCCAGGCCTTGGAAGGTCATTCCGGCGGTGACGATGGGGATTGCTGCGCGTTCGGGCTGACGGGAGGCGATGACTGAAGCGATTGTTCCGCTCAGCATGATTGGGAAGGCTGGTAGGATCCAGGAGGGCATCATTGTCTGGAGGCGGTAGGTGTGCGAGGTGAAAACGAAGGAGTATTGTACGACGGCGACGGTGAAGGTGCAGAAGCAGTATATCCAGAAGAGGACTTCGAGGGTTGTTGTGAAGGATGGGGCAGGGTTGTCGCCGAAGTACTTATCCAGACCGGTGATCATGGTTGCGACGGAGAGCCAGAAGGTTGGGAAGAAGAGGCCTTCACGTTCGTGGCGGAGGGAGTTGAGGGCTCCGCCATGGAGTATGAAGCGTGCTGCCATGAGAGAACAGACGAGAGCGAAGAGGACGAGGTTGAAGAGGTAGATGGCTAGGCCGATCTCGCGGTAGCCTTTGAATTTGTTCGGCTGGTTTGCGATGAGGAGGGCTAGGCCTCCGGCGCTCATGGTGAGGGTATACCATGCCCATGTGAAATGGCGGAGACGATCACGGAAGCTCAGTGGGTATTGCTTCTCGCATTTCTCTGAGTTTATGAACGGTATGTCGGAGTGAGAGGATGCTGGTGCAGATGGAGGATAAAGCTCTTGACTGTGATTAGGGTAGGCCCCTAGTAGAATTGGATTGGACATTGTGTATATAGAATTGGGATGATTTGATGTAATGTTGTAATGTATAGATGAAGCCCTAAGGTTGGAACATAGAAGAAAGGAGTATAGAGTGGATTTGAATGTATTCAAGACACAATAGACCAATATGGATCATAGAAGCAATAGAAAAGCAAAGTCTAGTCCAGTCAAGTCAAATTAAAAGGAATTGAAGTAATTGAAATGATGGGAATATGCTAGTGAATGCAATGAAGTGTGGATGAGAAGGATGAGAAGGAGCGAGAGAGGAGATGTTAAGTATAATATACTAATTCCAAGAGTATTATAGGGCATATATATCAATTCTATAATTCCATAATTTCATAATTCCCTGAAGATCAGCCAAGAAGTTCCCAAGGCTATACTTTTTTTTTTTCTAAAATAAAATCAAAATCAAAAGATCAGAAACCGGAAAGGGATTCTATACAACGTACTCCGTAACTAGAACACGGCAGTCAAGGCAGTCAGGGCAATGGAGTCCTTTGGAACGGACCTACCAGCGGTCTCAATCGGACATGTTCGACTCCATAATTCGAACTAAAAGAAATCTATAAGAATAGATCGGCCCAGGATATTGGGCTCGGACGATTCATCATACAGTCTGCATCAGGGGGGTGGCGGTTAGTTCCTCTAGGGGTACCGGAAACACTGTGATCCACTGCGGATCTGGCCAGGTTAGACCCATATACAAGAAAAGAAAAAAAAAACTTCGATGCCTAGGGGGAGTTGTCAAAGTTAAGGGCTTGGGACTCTGCCAAGAACATGTAGAGATAGATCATTGGGGCGTAGTGCCTGTTTTTTTGGCCATTTCTCTGCACAATCGATATAACCTGGAACCTGGTGAGGGTAAAACGAGTACAAGGCTGATTGACAATCTATAACTGGATTGTGTCAGTTCAACATCATTTCATTTTAAATCAGAGACCTGTTACTCAGATGATGAAATCTCAAAACCCGAATTCCACTCGGCCCGACGGTGATTTCCTTTTTGTTTCACGCCGAAGTCTTCCGATAGGGTACGGAGGATATACCTAGGAGGTATAGGAGGTATAGAAAAGTCTAAACCGGGAATTCCAATGCGCGTCCAACGTGCCTGAACACCAAATGCCAAGAACCGATGATCTACACATCGTTGACGGACCGCTGCCAAGCTTTAGTTCGGTGGCTGTGAAGGGCTATGAAGAGTGCAGAGTGTAGAAGAGGGAAGAGATGAAGATTGAACACGAGGAATCACTAGGTAACACCATTGCGTGTATGCACCACATAGATATGTTGAACGATTTGAATATCCATGTATGCAGAGTACATTAACTAGTTAGTTATGTACACGTAGTGGTGAAGATCAAGGAGAGAAGTTGGAAAGTTGACCCTACGAAGTTGTGGAGTTCGGAACGTTGACGTACTCGGAATTTCTTGGCATTTTCTTTCCCCCTGACCTTCTTTTTCTCTTTTCTCTCTTCTCTTTTCTCTTATCTTCACACAGCCTCGTCAAAACAACGCTATTGACACCATTCCCGCCAAGAATCCAATTCTGATATGGACCTTTGTCGATCAGTCGATCATCTCAAGGGATTCTTAGGATTGTCATTGGTGAATTAGTTGGCTTATCTTTTCGCCAAGATGCCCAGCCTTGCCCTGAGGATTATGTGATGAAACTCATGAAACTCATGAAACGATATCATCCGAAATCCACTTTTATCGGGTCTGGCTCTTATGGAGTGGAGTTATCGGTTTATGGAGTCGAGTCGATGGAGTTCTCAGTTTATGGATTTCTATCGATTTTATCGATTCTATGGAGTCTATGGAGTCTGAGTCTATGGATTCATCAACTTGGGATCCCACTGATCACCCCGGAGCCTTACATACACAACCATGGATGGACAATATAAAAATCACTTCATTCAAAAGAAAAGAGAAAGGAAAAAAAAAAAAAAAAAAAAAAAAAGAAGCCAAGATCATGCAGAACAAAAAGGAAGATAATGCAATGCACCTCGAAAATATCAAATTCAAATTATGCAGAAAATGCAAAAATGCAACAAAACGCCAGAAGCCTTCGAAACATGGAAACAATCTTCAGGGCAGCAACGCATGAAATCATCTCTCTCAAATTTATGCAGAAACCCACAAACACACCAAAAATTCTGGGCAACTCCCATCCCAGACCCAATCACATTTCACCATCCACTCACATCATGCGGTAGACAAGATCAGAGGCCAGCTCCGTCGTCAAATCCAACAAGGCACGGAGACTCTTAGGGGATGTGGTAGTAGAAGTCTCAATTCGTTCCGTCTTGGTATCCACCGGCCGCAAAGAAGGTGTCGCCGAGGCCGAATCCTCCGTCGAATGATATCGTGCCAATTCCTTCACGTTGCACGCCGCATAGTGAACCACCAGTCGTCGTAGCTGGTTCTCCCGAAGCTGTGTCGCGGACGTCGGCGAGATCGGTTCTAGTCGGGCCGTCTTGGTGTAGGCGTAGTGTACCAGCTCCAACACCATCCGCGCCTTGGTGGCTGCCAAGCCGTCTAGAATTTGGGACTCGCTCAGATCGGCGGTCTCGAAGTCCGTCGATGACAGTCGGAGTAGGTCGCGGTGCAGCTTTCGGAGACAGAGCTGGGCCAGAGCCGGGATTAAGTACCGTGTGGCGAAGACATAGACCTTTGCGTGGAAAGTGATGTAGGGGAGTTCGCTGCTGGGCGTCTCGACCGGGGTGGGTTTGGAGGTTGTTGGCTCGTCGTATTGTAGGGAGATAAACTCGTCCCATAGGTTGAGGCCCGGCTCGCAGGGTGAGGTGGCCTGCTGATTGGCAAATGACATGTCGAGCATTGGTCGTTGGCGCTGTGCCTGGATAATGCTGGTGCCTTCACTTCGGTCCTGAGTCCAAGAATCTTCCATCGGTCCTTCCGGGGCAGGTGGTTGTTCTTCTACAGTCGCGGGCGCAGGCTCTTGGGATGCAGGTGCTGCTTCAACTTCAGGTGCAGGTGCAGGTTCTTCAGTTGGCTGTTCCCACTTCTCAGTCGGTTCTGGTCCTGGTTCTGGTGCAGGCTCTGCCGTAGCCCATTCTTCAACGGGCTCTGCTGCTGGCTCTGGGACAGGCTCGGCGGCATCTTCTGGAGGTGGTGTCGATGGCGGCGTAAGGCTGACAGGTTCGGCTGGTGCGGGAAGTTCCTCTTCGACAGCCTCTACTTGCTTTTTGCCCTTCTTCCCTTTCTTTGCCTTCTTCTTGTTTCCCTTGGGTTCTTCTGCTTCCTGTGTCGCAGGTTCTTCGGTCGGAACCGCCCATTCATCGCCGGGAGACACTGCCTCGACTGGTGGCTCTGGGGCAGTCTCCGCTTCGTGGTATGTCTCTGACTCCGGCTCCGGCTCCGGCTCGGTTACCTTGACGGGAGCTGACTCGACCTCAGGCTCTGGCGCAAAGGTTGGAGTAACCGGTTCCTTGGCCTCGATGGGCGCAGGCGCAGGCTCAGACACGGGCTGAGGCACTGGCGGCTCGGGCTCAGGCGCAGACTGGTACGCTGCTTGTCCCCGATGTCGAAACTGCGGAGGCGGCGACGGAGCCGGGGGTGGCACAGTCGACGACATTGAACCAGTCCGGTAATTCCCTCTCCAGGTGGCGGTACTCGGCGAGCTCTCGACTACCCCAACCTTGTGTTCTTCCTGGACCTCCCGCTCGGGACGAGGGACGTTATAATCACCGGTATATGCATACTCGCAGAATGCGACGAATGTTTCAACATCATCCTCTTCCAGAACGGCGATTCGGTGTTTTGATTCCCTGGTCGGACCGTTCATAAGATTATGGAGTGGTTTGGAGACATGTTCGGCGAGTCCCGACTGGATTGTCAGCTTCGTATGTCGTGGGCCGACAAGGAAGGTGAATGGCGGTGAATGGATGATACTGAAGATGTTGAATTAGCGGTCTGCTCACGGTGTGTATACTCGAAGTCATACAATGTTGTATAGACTTGAGTCACACTGAGATGGGCTTACCTGCTAAAATTGGGAGACTCCATGGACAATTGACCTCCTACAGAAGGGATGAAATGAAATTAATCTACGTTCTAACATGCAGGATAGTCCTCATTAAATATTTTTTACCTCCAATTCCCAAGGTGCAGGAAGCCTTCTTGGGCAAAGGTAGTAGTCTGCAACGTGTGCAGCTGTGATGGGGGAAGCATTTCCAGGACCCATTATACTAACGCTAGACCTGATGACTCTATAAGGATATGCGAAATGGATATGCGAAATGGGGCCAAAAGAGATTTTGATGTTGTCGTGGTCTGCTCGCCCTACACTATTCTGTCGATGTCTGGTTTGTTAAACCACCCCAATACCAATAACCACCCACCACCTGTTCATTTGAACCATTTGAATAAAATGCCGCTCTCACCGAGAACAAAAAACAACAACGCAGAAGAACTATAGAGAGCAGCCATACAGAACAGCTAGTCATACTTGGTGTCCTGAACTGTCCAATTGTCGGGTGACGTTGGCGTCAGCAGGTTTGTGCCCAATCCCCAGCCTCGAGAGAACCCAATCTGTGGCCTCACTGGTTGGTTTGTTCCTGAGAGCTCCATTTGGGATTTGAAGCTTCACTTATTTTTGATTTATTTTTGATTTTATTTTATTTTCATTTAATTTGTCTTGGATGTTTGCGAGATTAGCGGTCAATGGTGACAACGATGCCCTAACAAGGTACCTGATTTATACCGAGGTTGGATATTAGCAACAACACATTCTACAGAATATATTTATGGATACATAAGGCCTACGACAGGTTGAATATATTCCTGGCCCCTCTTTTCCTATAAACAAGCTTAATCGACTGTCCTATTGGGAAAAAAAGCACCAAATCCACGACTATAATTGGCACCTTTAGTATACATATATATCACGAATCAGATCCTTCATACATCCAATATTCTCTAGAATGTCATATGTAAAAGAGTAGAGTAGTCTATCTAAATAGTATATCCAAAACAAAACATCCAATAATATACAAAAATAAAACCAATCAACTACTATGCATCAACCGAATCTCCGTATTCCCAGGCTCCCACTCCCTCAACCCTTCCCCAACACTATACCAAAACCGTAATCGAATACATTCCTTCCTCGCAGCCTCCAAATCTCCCTTCTCAAAAGCCTCCCCAAGTCTCTCCACACACTCAACAACCCTCCCATCATTATCCTTCTTAAGCGCATTGATCTGCACCTCCGCATCAGCAGAAGCCCCGACCTCTTCAATAGTCTCCTGCACCTCCATAACTTCCATCAGCGTCTCCGAATCAAGCGCATGCTTAGTCGACGCGTCTTCCGCCGTCACGTCAATCCCATGCCATTCCCGTAGAATGTACTGTGCTCGCTGCAGCGGGTCCAGAAGTGTCCGGTACGCTTCGTTGATCCGCGCCGAGAGACCCTCGGCAAGTTGCTTCTCCGCTCCATTGGGGTATTTGTCTGGGTGGACCAGGCCCTGCAATTGGAGGAATTCGCGGCGGAGATCGCTGGTGGAGATTGCGAATGTCGAACCTGGTGGTGGGCCGGCTGGTACGGTTTGAGGGAAGATCGTGTAGTGGTTGGTGATGTCCGGTGCACCGGCGAGGGTGGGTTCCCTTGATTCTGTTGGTGTAGTGGTTCCTGTTGAGGCAGAGCGGCGCTGTGTCATGGGTGTCTGGGTTATGAGAGATCGACGTGTTGGGAGGGTTGTGAGTCCTCGTGCTGGCTGGCGATATCGGCAGAGCATGCATGCATCTTGGCTTGAGTTTGATAGCGAGTTGGTTGGTCGTGAGAGTGGCCGTGGGGTTGCTGTGCGACAGAGATGCTGTGCAATTCTCTGTGGACGGAAAGCCATGACTATGTAGTATGTTTATGGTCAAGGTCCAGAGAAGAGCAATCAGTTCGAAGTTGACAAAAAGCCCTCGACATACCGCTTTACGTCATCCCCGCATTTGCCACGTGACCACTAACTATACAGGAACGGACTACGAGGATATCAACCTGGATACTTGACACATCTTACATATATGTATTCAGCGAATTACACCTTGTTCTTTGAATTGTATCCCATTTCCAATTAAGAGGCACAAGACAGATAGTTGAAGAGCCAACGTATAAACGTGAATCATTCAATCCCCCAAAGCTTCACAGTACGATCGTGACCGCAGCTAGCAATCCACTTCGCATCGTCACTGATATCCGTGCTGAGAACGTTGCCCGAGTGGCCGCTCAGCGACTTCACGAGGGACCAGTCATCCGCACTAAAAATGTTGACACTCTTATCAAATCCACTGCTCACAAAGAATGTGCCGGATTTCTTGGGCGAGGGCGCCTCCGCTGCTTTATCGGCCGCTGGTGGAGCGCCATCAATTTCCATCCCGCCATCCGTGGAAGGCAAGAATGACGCAGACTCTACACCCTTATACCAGCGGAGATCGGATACCACGCTCTTATGCGCACCAATTCCACCCGTCTCCTTCATCTGTCGCAAGTCCCAGCATTTGACCCAGCCATCACCGGAACCAGATAGTACCCGGTGACCATCAACGCCCCAGTCCATACCGTAGATCTCGCGAATGTGGCCGTCGAGAATCATCACGTTGCGTCCTGTCCGCAGATCCCAGATACGTCCGATGCTGTCGAATCCACCACTAGCCACAAGAGAGCCATCGTTGTTGAACGCCACTGTATAGACCTCTCGCGAATGGCCTTCTTGTAGGAGAAGCTCGGTTGCCGTTTCAACATCCCATAGCCGCCATGAGCTGTCGAAGGATGCCGATGCTGCATATCGCCCCGAAGGGTGGAACTCGGTACGGCATACACGGCCCGAGTGACCAGTTAACGTAGCCAGCGGCTTTTCTTGGTCAAGTGCCCAGAGGTTGAGATTTCCTTCGCCACCCCCAGAGATCAAATTGACAGTTGAGGGTGAGACATTCGAGCTGGGGAGAGTGGCACCGGGGAACCACGACAAACCACCCACTCGATCCGTATGCGCCTTGAAACTCGCTTTTTCTTCCAGATTGGGTACGCTGAGCAATTTAATCCCACCGGTCCAGTTTCCAGCAGCGATTGTCTGTCCATCCGGCGCGAATCGACAAATGCTAACCGGACGATCGCCAGCAATCTGAGACCCGTAAAGATCAAATCCTTGTAGCTTCTCCTTGACGGCTTTGCGATGCTTGACATGCGTCCGAAGTGTAATTGTTGATTCGTCCTTAAGCCGGGCCACACGAGCCTTCGCGCGTGGTAAAGAATAGCGCGCAATATCTTTCCGCGCCTCGAGTAAATTGTTCCCGCCCTCTGTGAAGAATTCTTCTTGTTGTTCCCCTTCCTCCTCGGCTTCTTCCATTTCTATCTCGCCTCCGCCTTGTTTCTCCGCCATGTCGGTCAACAGTTCACGCAGACGATCGCGTCGCTCTGATGGTCCTTCGCCGAATAGCGTAATGGGTTCCCCGAGCTCTCGTAGTCGTTCGCGCACTCGTGTGTCATCTGTTGGAACCACCATCGCTGCTGCTCTCCGTTTCCGTTCGAATTGCGATAGAATGGCGGAGGCCCGCTCGGTTGGGATCCCCCTGCGGTAGTGGGCATATCATAGTCTTGGTCCGTAGCTATAACTTTATTAGTAGGCTTCAAATAAAAGCTGTTTGAGAACGACGTACGAAGATCGGCATAGCTGATGCCCCCCATGTCTGTGTCTTCCGTCTCCTCGACATAAGCTTGTCGCGCCGGATGCATCGTCTTGGGTAACTTAGAAGCTTGTGCTTCTCCAGTAGCTCAAAAAGCAGATTAATAAAGATTCACGCTTGGGTAAAAGAAAAGAATTGGGGGTATCTCGTGGGGAAGAGAAAAAGGTTGGCGGGAGAGAAGATGTTGCGGGCGGCAGAATAATTGATAGACTTTGGCGGTAACGCGTTGAAGAGCATACAGAGTGCAGGTCTGATTGAATTGTATAAATTTGTAGATTTGAATTCCAACTAATTGTGAGAACGGTATTTGAACTCATTCTCTCTCTCTATATATATAGTCTTCCTAGACCAAGTCCAACCCCATACAACTTAACAATTTCTGCCTGAGAAATCTGGTATCCACGAAAAAATCAATGACGCCAGGCGGTCGGACGATAAGGGCGGGTACTTGTCTTATCCGTTGAGATTCACTCAGCTCCTGGATTTTTTTGGGGCTTTTAGGGCTTTGGGGCTTTTGAATTCTTTCTTTATATCTCTTATTTCCTCTCTTCTTGTTCCTCTCACTCTCAAATAGGAGGCCCCATACTCCACCGAGGGAACTCATATATACCCCCCAAACCTGAGATGATCCCGCCAAGTGTTTCCTGTAGAGCCTGCAGTTCCGCCTGCAGTAGCCTACAAGCCATCGCTCGAGATGGCGTCTATTCAATCTCCACCAATCCGAGCACATATACACCCTCCCTGTTCAAATCCCAACATGTTCGCTTGTCCTCCCATGTTGCAAGAATCAGACCAGACACCCGTCCAAGCCTGTATGTAACCCGCCAACCCTCCCGCCGGGCCTTCCACACAACCCCAACAACCAACTTCGAAAAGCCCTCGCCCTTAAACCTCTCCTACCGCGTCGCCGTCTCCTCCTCCGGAAAAGGCCGCCGCTTCCACCCCATCAAAAATGCATACAACTTCGACCCAACAGCAGACGCCCTAGGTGTCTCAAGGGACAAGAACTCCGTCAGCCGTCGTCGTAACCGCCCAGACTCAGGCGAAGATGCCTTCTTCGTAACCCGCATCGGAAACCGCATCTCAGACCACCAAGATACAAACGCCGAAGCGGTCGCCTTCGGCGTCGCAGACGGTGTAGGAGGCTGGACGGAATCCCGCGTCGATCCGGCAGACTTCTCCCATGGATTGTGCAATTACATGGCGCATACCGCACAGACCTGGCATGAGCCTGCCGAGCGCTTGCGCTCGAAATACCTCATACAGACTGGGTACGATCAGGTCGTGGCGGATCCGAACATCCGCGCGGGTGGGAGTACGGCATCTGTTGGCGTCGCGCTGCCGGATGGTCGGGTTGAATTGGCCAATTTGGGTGATTCGGGCTCGGTGTTGTTGAGGAGGGCGGCGGTGCATCATTACTCGGTTCCCCAGACGCATGGTTTCAATACCCCATACCAGCTTAGTGTGATCCCGCCGCGTATGCGCGCCCAGGCTTCTGTCTTTGGTGGGGCGTTTTTGGAGGATTTCCCCCGTGATGCGTCGGTCACAAATGTGCAGATGCAGCATGGAGATGTGCTCGTTATTGCCACCGATGGCGTTTTTGATAATCTCAATAATCAGGATATCCTCAAGCTCATCACGAGCCGTATGGTGATGACTGGCGCCTGGACGGCTACGGAATCTGGCGTTGGGGTCTCCGAGAACTTGCGTGCGCTGGCTGCGCCAGGTGGATTGGCTGGTGCTCTTCCCACTCCGTCGGGCTCGCCGCTTTCCAAGGACCCGGCTAATACTGAGTCTGGACCTGAGGATGGAGTCACGCTGCAGTCTGTTCTTGCGGCCACAATCGCTGGCGAGGCGAAAATTGCTAGTGTCGACTATCGCCGCGATGGGCCCTTTGCTAAGGAAGCTCAGCGCTACCATCCCGGTGACTATTACCGCGGTGGAAAAGTTGATGATATCTGCGTTGTGGTCGTCATCGCTGTCGAAGATAGCATCACTGCGAGTGAGACATGAGTGATTTGGACCGGCGTCATACTGTATTTTCTTTTTTTTTTTTTTCATTTGGGTTCGAGGAGCATGATGTATATAACTGCATCCATATATCCATATATATATATATATATAGAAGGCGTGGGGATTTTTGATTTTTTGCAAAGAGCTGGGCATATAAGCATTTTATGCTTCCCCCGTCGATACGTTGACTACATTCAAATAGACATTTTATAGAGATAACCCCAATTGCATGGAATTCAGCTTTCCACGGAGTCTTTACGTTCTACGATCTACTATTTACTGATTTAATGAACAGCCATTATGGATCCTTGTATTCAAGAGCTCACTCAATACATGTAACTAGTGAAGAAGACATAGCCTCTCCATTACGTACCCCTGGAGACCTTTCTGTTCATTTTCATGTCATAGAACAACATTCCCTCCGATACTCTGGGCCCAATTTTGGTACACAATGGGCTCGACATCGAAAGAGATCATTGGCGTGCAACCTCTGGGAAAAGATCCAGAGCCAGGTAACTCCCATGCTCCATGGCTAGGACACAAGCCAATGTGTAGAAGCCAATTCAGAAAGAAAAAAAGAACAATCACATTTTCAATTGATTCAAAGAAGCCTTGCTGGTTGGTCCAGCCCCGTATCCCAGTATTGCATTGGCAGGTGACAAAAAAGATAAAAAAAGGAAACAAACCGGCAGAACCGCGTAGATTGAAACAGAGACAAAGAAGAGAACATGAATGGAAGCGCAAATGGAAAAGAGTAAGAAAACAGACATCGCAAAGTCGTGATTCTTAGACCACTTAAGCAGTAGTCTCGACGGACTTCTCCTCGGTGGGCTCCTGGGTGGGCTCCTCGGTGGGCTCCTCAACTGCCTTCTCCTCCGGCTTTTCTTCCTTCTCCAGCTCGGGGGCCTTCTCATCCGCGTCGGGCATTGGAGAATCAACATCCTTAGTCGACTTGGACTCAGCCTCCTTC